ATAAAAACAAAAAGTTACAAGCTTAATACTAGACTAACCTCGAATGTATGTTGACCAAAACGTACCTCGAAAGTATGTTGACCATAATAAACCATAAACATAAAGTAGAAATTATCTTAATGGTCAATACATATTCTGTTATCATAAATCCAACAACAATCATGAGTGCACACATTATAAACATAATATATAAAGATGTAAAAGTCATACAAGAGCTCAACAAAAAAAATGTCAAATATAGGCTAATCATAAACAGACATCATCAAGACCCATATTTTTAACATGCTTTTAAAAAGTTTTTGGAGGTAATACTTTCGTAAATATGTATCTAACTATAAGTTCAGTGCATCTATGTCCAATGACAAACTTTTCTATTTTAACTGATATTTTTGAGAATTGTCCTATTTTATATTCACGTAATCTATCAACTCTAGGTTATGAATCAGAATATGCATAATATTCAATCAACATCTCCTAGTAATGCTATTTAGAAAGTGAACGGAGAACATGTATTCAAAACAAGACATATAAAGCTCGTGGAATTGATTACAAACATAAAAACTGGTAAAAAGTGTTACAATGATACAAGTTGACGTGTATGTATGCATATTTGCTTTTTCTCTTCGGAGGACTGGATTGCTCCGTCCACATAGAGATATCACCATAAAGTTAAGACAGGTCGGAGAAGGAGGCCATCTTCTGCTTCCGCCGTCTACAGTGAAGCCTACCTCGAAGGAGGACCGAGTAGCAGAAAACAAAAAGTGAGAATAATAAACATACGTACGTGGGAGCAATACCAGAGAAACAAAACAAACAACAATGGTTTAAGTAGTATCAGCAGCTTCGGTGGCAGATGCTGAATGTGTTGGTTCAGCTTCTTCTTCCGGTTGTGCCTGAGCCGTCTCCTTTTGCTGTTCAGCTAGACGGCTGATGCGTTCAAGCAACTGGGCTGCTTTTCTTTTCCCTCTATCTGTCCCATTCCCAGCTAAATCTATCAACGGACCCATAAGGCCGAGTTTCTGCGCTTCGACCAGGTGTTGTGGGTCTCCAGAACAGAGGTGGACTAGAACTGCAGCTGCGTTCTCTCTGTTTCTAGGCGAACCAGTTCTGATAAACTCCACTAGACTCGGGACTGCATCAGAGGATCCTATGATCGCTTTCCCTTCGGGATGGCTAGAGAGAATCGCCAGAATCGCAAGCGCCTCATCGACCATTCCGCTTCCGGGCTCTGTCAAGAGTCTAGTCAAAGTGGGAATCACTCCTGCACGTATTGCTTTTCCTTTGTTTCCTTGGTATATGCAGAGGTTGAAAAGTGCAGTAGCAGCATCTTTCTTGCCTCTTTGTGTACCTTCATGAAGCAGTACAACGAGTGGCGGGATCGCTCCTAAGGCACCAATAGTCACTTTGTTTTCATCAATCACCGATAAACTGAAAAGCGTAGCTGCTGCATTCTCTCTAGCCTCCATGCTTCCTTTCTTAAGCACTTGAACTATACCAGGAATAGCTCCAGCCGAAACAATGGCTCCTTTGTTGTTCTCACATATGGAGAGGTTTAGAAGAGCTGTTACCGAATGTTCTTGGATACGAGAATCAGGAGTTGAGAGGAGGCCTACAAGAAGAGGTATGGCTCCAGCTTCGGCTATGGCCACACGGTTGTCTGCATTTCGTTTTGCAAGGAGGCGGATTTCCCCAGCTGCAGATCGTTGGTCCTCTGGGTTTCCATAAGCAAGTCTCCACATAAGATCTTCGATCTTGTTCGCTTCTGCTGGGGACGAAAAGGACGATACTTTCCTGGGTCTTAAACTGCTCGGAGGCTTTGGTGGCTCGATATCGTTGGCCTCGCACCACTGAGCTATGAGACTACGGAGAACATAGTTTGGTGTGAGAGTTGTGCTTGTAAGAGCCTGCTGTGTTTTTGGACATGTCGAGTGTCCAGCTTCTATCCACTTCTCAATGCAGGTGCGTTCGTAGGTCTATACACAGAGGAGAACATGCTTCTATAATTAAATCTGAAGCTATTACAACACAAATTAAATTTGAAGAAGCTGGAGACGAAGGGAACTTTACCTGCCCTGTTGAAACAATAACTGGATCTCTCATCATTTCCAGGGATATTGGACAGCGAAAATCATCGGGAATCACGGGGATTTTCTGACTCGCTGCCGTGGAAGTTTGTCCACTGCTTCTTGAGTTATCCCCTACTTTCTGGTCCTCGTTGTTGTCATTCTCCATCTGCACAAAATCTTTAATCAGCTTCAGTATCACTGCCATCTCCTCAATGTTTTCACCGGCGTCTCCACCACTCGAAGAAACCATTTCGTGCAGAGCCACTGATTCTTGAGCTAGGTCAGGAATCTCCATCAGCTGTAACTTCTTCACCACCCGCTGCAGGGCAGGCTGATAAGCATCTACATCACTGCTTTTGTTGCACAACGACTGAAGATCTTCATATAGTTCATCGTCTGATGCATCTACTCTACCTTTGGCTCGCCGAAACTGGCTGAGAACCAGCTCAACCTGCAACAACAAAACGCAATGAAACATTGGCATATATCCGGAACCTTTTAACCAGGTGAAGTTCTTATCCTTAACTCATTACAGTTGGACTAGATACACATCCAAACAAGTCCTAAGATTTCCATACGTTGATAGGCAATAGTTTCTCTGATTGATTAGAAAGATGTAGCCATTTATGTTAGACATATATTGATCCAACTTTGGCATCTGAACTCATCTATGTCCAATATGAATAAACTGATTTCAAGAACTCATGATCGATCAACTGATATTCAAGTTTTACGTCAAATAAGTACTACAAGTCCTCTTCAGTGATCAGACACTGGCCTTGCCCCGTCCGGATCGTAGAATTTATTTACCTGTTCTCTAACTTCATCCGATATGTCCAGATCCTCATACGGAATCTTGCTCAAAGATTGTTCTAACTTAACTGACACCTCCAGCAATTTACTTGTCACTTGTTCCCTCTCCATCACCTACAAACATAATTAGAAACTCTCTCATGTCAATCGAATCAAAATACACCAACTACTGATAAAAACTAGAGTCACAAGAGTAGCTAAAACACCAAATCTAATTCGAGAGATGCATTGATATGACTCATACTAACCATACCAGAACTAAGCACGTGGTGTTTCATTCAATGAAAAAGAGCAATTCGTCAAACTTCCATTAATCAACCAAGAAAATTTTCTTCAGTGAGACCATACAGATCTAATCAAAGTAAATGCCAATAAATCGAAAAAAAAAAAGAGAGAGAGAGAAAATAGAGACGCACCATGTAAATCTTGCTCCCTTCGCTGCAGAATTTGAGATAATCCTTCGCCGAGGACATGGCTTCCTTCAAGGAGAGTAACGTCCCCATCGTATCTTCATTGATCGGCTCGTTGCTCTCTCTAATTTCCTCGAACATCGGAACAAGTAGCTTTAACCTCCTCGCTAGATTACTACAGAGCTTCTTCACCGTTATACGGTAATCGGAAACCGAAGCAATCTCGTTCACTACATCAATTAAGCTCTGAGCAGCAGTACCTTTGTCCTCTTCCATAGTTTCCGATTTACGGATCCGATCCAGTCCGTACAGGTTGAAGGTTATCCGAAGAAGGTGGAAATCTTTCCTGATTTGGACTACAGTGCCCAGATTCAGCTCGAAACAAAGAACGGAACCATTTCCAGAAGTGCGAAAGAGATTTTCTGAGAAAGAGAGAGAGAGATGGTGAGAAGGCGAGGACTTTTCAAAACGGCGTGGCTAAGTGACGGCTTATGTCAAGTTGTTCGTTTCTCTCGGCTTAACCTCTAAACCGGGGAGTAAAGGTAAAATTCCACGACGAAGCCAGTTATTTCAGAACGGGACCGGTTAAGATTTTATTTTATTTTATTTGTTTTTGTCGGCAAACTAATTCATTAAAACTTAAAACGTTTACAAAACTACAACTGAAATATTCAAGACAACCAAGATATTACAACCGGTTTAGCTTATATGATCGG